GAAATCATTCGGTCAACCGACGAAATTTTCGGTCGACCGCGATCCAGATCGAAAACGAGAAAAACAAACAGAGACTTCATCGGTCGACCGGTGCGGTCGACCGANAGGTCGACCGGTGCGGTCGACCGACAAACTCTCTGTTGCCCAGAGACGAAAGATCATAAGTGCGGTCGACCAGTGCGGTCGACCGCATTTTGACATTTTCTAGAAACAGTATTTTTGACTCAACAGAAATATTTGGAAAATATTTATTTGACCTCTGAAAATTATGAAACTTTGTAAAATATTTTTAATACTAAAAACAAACCGTTTGGAAAAGGAATTTTGTAGATAGGTCCTCATACTTGTGAAAAATAGTATTTTGTGAAAAACGCTTAAAAACATAAGTATGAAAACGTGTGTGTGATATCCCAATAGCTTCAAGTGAAGTCAATAACTCTTTGCCTACATTCTAGCACTAGAGAGAAAAAAATAAAAGATAGCTAATATCCTCATATAGAATGCAATGCCTGAGTCTTGATATAGCTTGAATAGGATGCAACTTCTATTAGAATTTGTTGTTCTTGAATTAACGTTGCTTCATCATTATGCCTCCTCCTCCTTTGGATATCATCGTTGTAGCGCATATTCCATCCAATCCTCCATTTGTGGTACTAACAAGCTTGATATATGAATTCACTACATATGTACTTAATAAGCCATTAGTACCGATAATGGTGGTTGTAAAACATCATCAAAACATAAGGGCTAACACATGAGATGTTTGAGATTTGTGGATTGTCTTTTAGAGAATTACCCTATGAGGAATTTGTTCCCGAGAATAGGGAATTAGAGATTCTAAAACATGGTGCCCCGAAAATCTATGACACTTATTAGGAATTAATGTACCATTTCTAGATATGTGTACAAACTACTGGGAAGAGAGCCAGTGGTGTGAAACAAGGGCAATGGGTAGAGTACCTTTTCTGAAATTTGTGGGACAAAGATGCAGAAGTGACTCGTTAACTGTCAGTACTTTGGAAGAAATCAACGAGCGCAACCTCTCACTATACTTGCGAGGCAGAGGAAGACGTCTTCCTAGCTTTCACCAATTTTGAAAGCTTTCATTACCAGGCAGAAATCTCAATCTCCGACACGGCCTTGTTTGCAGGTTTCCTTACCCTTTGGTTGAAGCGTTGTGTAGTACCCACTAGGCCGATAGACGCAATCCAAGTAGATGTGCTGTATCCAGCTGTTCTTCTGGCTCATGGACGACCTTTGAATCTCCTTTCGGCCATGGTATGTTGCTTGCAGAGTGGCCTACGAGAGCTAGCCTCTGAATTTGTTGTTGTCAAGAAATTGGAATCAGATGGGAAGATTATCGTTCAGACTCCAACTCCTCGGTGTCGATGCCATATATCTATTTGGTATCCTGGTTTGTATTACACTGCCCTTCAATAATGTTAACGCCTGAATCGAACGACACTTCGGCCCCTCTCATCCAACAATTGGAGACCGCTCGATGGGTTAGTTGGTATCAGGTTAAATTCCGCGAGATATTTAGGCGGGATTATAATTATGAAATTGCTTGCAAATTTCCTGTTTTCGAGGGTGGTGCATATGGAGAGATCCATCAAGACACTCCGGGGCGTAACTCTTTCACTACACTTAGTAGAGGTGCCTTTTGGTGGCTCATAAATATTCGTCCGGGCTATCTTATTTTCCGGCAAGGGAGGAAATGCTTCATTGAATCATATCAGCCTTATCGTTTTTCTCGGCAATTCGGCTATGATCAAATTTACATCGAAAATCCAAACCCCAACCTTGCGTACACAGGTAATGTGTATGAAGGAACAAGAGCTTGGTATTATTCGGTAGTGGGCTGCACTAGGGTAAAGTTCAAGTTGCCACATAAAATGCCTAACGTTCACACCTCTTTAAGCTTTTGTACCTGGTATCAGGCTGCTTCTCAAATTTTAGCCTATAATATGAATACTTCCTGCCTGAAAGCCATTCGAAAATGGTATGCTTCAATAGAAGTGCCAAGAAGTCCCGTGCGAGAGGGGTTAATGAATACTTGTCATATAAAGAGGCGATTATCGAAGATGATAGGCGATAATCACCAGAGGGGTTTCAAGAAGAGATTAGGGTGCCTGATGCTCATGAGGTGGAACCTTCAAGAGTTAAGACTCGGAGTAAAAGTGCTACCGGAAAAAGAGCACTTGAATCAACTGAAGAAGCCGAGTATGATAAACGAGCTCGACGAAAGCTAACACTTGAGCCTTCTACTTCTAAGCTTATATCAGATGCTCATTAAGTATGACATGTAGAAGAGGAAGAGCGAGAGTCTATTGCTATGGAGCTCTCGCCTCGACCTGGTCTCCCCACAGTTGGTCCTGCTTTAGGAGGCTCAGTTTCTTCTGCTCATTCACTGAATGAGGAAGAGGGTGCAGACGAATCGTTTAATTTGGCACAAGTCTCTTTTAATTTTTTAAAAGATAAATTTCACTAATCCTTCAGTAAGTTTAGCTATTTGGCACAAAGCTTGTAAATTTTCTTAAACCCCTGATAAGTTTCAGAATTTTAAAAAATCACCAAAATATTTTTATTTTTTACACTTAACCCCATAAAGGCAGTGCCCTATAATTTTACCCTGACGAACATCATCCCTCAAGGCCACTATGTACCTCTTAGATCATTCTTATTTGTAGATTACCTATAAAATTATAAATAACTCCTACAAAAATAAATATTACAAATAGCCTTTTGATAAATATGACAATACAAGCAACTCCTTGAAAAATCCAAAATCACAAAAATCTCCTTTAAATTCCAAAAAATTACAAATATCACTCTGAAAATTCTTAAAATTAAAAATCATCACGTTACAATTCTAAAAGTTATAGACAACCATCATAAAACTCCAAGAACTACAAACAGATCTCTTAAAAATATGAAAATTATAAACAGCCTCTCGTAAAGTTTAAAACTGCAAAAAAGATCTCTGAAAAATTTAAAATTGCAAAAAGAGCCTAATTTTTTTTTAAATATACAAAGAATTACCAGAAAATTTTGAATATTACAAATAGCCTCCCCCCCTCAAAAAAAAAAAAAAATATTAACAAACAACTTTTAAATTTGAAAAATTAGAACGATCTCTTGAAAAATCTAAAAAATTAGAAAGAACACTAAAAATAGTAAACAATCATTAGGGATTTTCTACCAAAAGTTATTGGGGATTATATGAGAAAACTGTAAAATTTGACATCCTTATTCTGTATTTCCATTATAAGGAAGAAAAAAAAAGCTCAGACTGAAGTTATTTATTTTTGAAGAAGGAGCGACACTCCAAAATTTTTTAATATAAGTTAACTTTTTTAATGGAAATAATTTTAATTTTTAGAAGTAAAATCATAACTAAAAAATTTCATAGAGAACAAAAAAATAAATATGCAAATAAAAAAAACCAAATCAACCTGTCTAAGCGCGGGCATATTGCTTGTTTGTTGTAAAAGATAAAAGGTACCAATAACTAAATGTACAGTTTATCTTAATTCTAAGGAGATATAATTGTATACTGTTTTCAAATGATCATCTTTCAGAAGTGACTACATCATCTTTGGCTAAATTGATTAAACTATAAAACAATTAATCTTAAAACTATTAGGATCCCGCACCTAATTTGTCCTCTTTTCTTTTATTTGTAAGCATCGAAACTTATTGTTAATATTAGTAAACTAATTTTAGAATTATTTTTTAAAATTAAGTAACTTAACTTGGATAAATTAGCTACTTCTAAAAGTAAAAATTTTAATAGAATATATTCTTA